TTGTTTCCACTGACATGGCCAGCAGTGGGCACTGCTGGCTTTTGATGGGGTATTGGCTTTTGATCTGGCTTTTGATCTGTCCCTCAGATTACTTTGACTATTAGGTTTCTATTTTCATTTGTTTTGAGGATTTTCATCTTTTTTTTTTTTTTTAAGATTTATCTATTCATTGACACAAGAATTGGGGCACAGGCCAGAGCTGTGGGGGTGGTGAGAGGATCCACCAGAGACAGAGTGGGGAGCAGACCAGGCAGACTGACTGAAATACACTGCTGAGGGGAGCAGCGGGCGAGTCAGGAGAGGTATGCTGTGCCATGTGGGTAGCTCCCTGGCCGCCGGGAATCCAGCTTGTGCTTCAGTAGCTACAGACAGCCTCATAGGCTGTGCCCCAACCCCTTGTGCCACCCCTGTTTTGAGAATGTTCTTATTTCTTTTTTGCTTTCTCCTTTGACCCATTCAGGAGTGCTTAGCTTAGCTTGCCCCTGCTTTCTTATGGCTGATTCCTAGTTTCTGATTACTGTGGTCGAAAGGATAATTGGTACAATTTCAATCTTAAATTTCCCAAGACTGGTTTTGTGTCCTGCCATATGACATTGCCTGGAAATGGCTTATGTGCATGGGCTAAGAATGTGTATTCTGCTGCTGTTGGATGATCTATAAATGTCTCTTTGGTCCCTGGTCTAATGTATGGGTCAAGTCCAATGAATCCTTGCTGGCTTTCTGTCTGGAGATCATCCCAGGGTTGAAAGTGGGTTATTGAAATCCTAGTATTATTGTATTGTTGCTTGTTTCTCTCTTCAGATCTGTAAGTATTTGCTTAATATATTTAATTGCTAATGCAGTAATTCATTGACAGTTTATTCCATTAATATCACAGCCTTTTGCAGGAAAACTTCTAAGACATCTACTTTACTCCATATCCACAGCTCAAGTGAAATTTTCAGCTATTTTTTTCTTTTTAAAGTTACTTTCATGTCTTAGAATAGTTTTAGATTTACAGAAATGTTGCAGAAATAGAACAAAGAGTTCCCATTTCTCCCCACCCAATTTTCCCTGCTGTTTGCATCTCACATCACCATGATACATTTTAAAAACTAGGAAACTGTTGCTGGGAAATTATGGATCTTTCTTTTAATTATTATTTTTTAATTATATATATATTTACGTCATTTTTCATTTTTGCACAATGTGTGCATTTTCATCTTAGTCATAGTCCCCATATAATTCGCCCCCCCCCTTGTCCGGATCTTTTGCCTGCTGTGCCAGGAAGCCAAAATAACAGTGCACAGGGATTAAATCTTTAATATTGTTTTATTAGATCAGCCAGCTAAATTGAGGATGGCCCAGCATCATGCATCAAAAATACCATTCTTACAGCTCATCTCTGACTGACTGTTTTATAGTGAGTTAAACAAAGATAGTTAATTATCAGTGAGTGGGCCTTCATTCCAAGAGGTTGACAACTTCTGGGAGTTTTAGGGCGCCCATCTCCCTGGCGGCTGCCCCTCTGATGACATCTAGATTTAGAGCACTACACTAATGTAATATTTGCATATAGAAATGCAACAGATTTTTGTAATGAATTTTCATTTACTATTCATTTATTATTTCTGTCTTTACTTATTCATTTCTTATTTCTACTGTATTCATTTCTTATTTCTAATAAATTTTTGCTGGCATGTTGGATTTTTCCATATATATTCCATGTATATTCATCACTAAGAGTGATTATTTTACTTTTTCTTTTCCAGTTGAGAAAGCTTTTATATTCTTTTCTTGTCTGATTGCTCTTTCTAGGACTTCTAAAAATATATTGAACAGTAGTGATGAGAATGGACATCCCTGTCTTGTTCCTGACCTTAGAGGAAAAGCTTTCAGTTTTTCACCATTGAGTGTGCTATTGGCTGTGGGTTTGTCATTTATGCCCTTAATTATGTTGAGGTATGTCCTTTTATACCTAGCTTGTTCATGAGTTCTATTATAAAAGTATATTGAATCTTGTCAAATGATTTTACTGTGCCTATTGAGAATAGCATATAATTTTTGTACTTCCTTTGTTGATGCATTGGGTAATGTTTATTGGTGCATGTATGTTGAAACACCCTGTTAGTCCCTGGAATTAATCCCTCTTGATCATATGTATAAATCTCTTAATGTATTGTTGGATTCAATTTGCCAAGATTTTGATGAGAAGTTTTTTGTTTCTTTAATTTTATATATTTTTACAGCATTTTTCATTTTTGCACAATGTATGCATCTTCATCTTGGCTATAGTCCCCATGAAATTCCCACCACCCTTATTTTGACCCTAATCCCAACATGGATGGAGCTGGAAGGGATCATGCTCAGTGAAATAAGGCAGAAAGAAAGAGGAAAAATACTGGATGGTCTCACTCATAGCAGGAATTTAGAAAACCTAAATAAGGGCCCCCCTGGGGGCACAAGGAGTTGAGCACTGCACTATGCAGTCCACAACCTCTGCAGCATGAGTTCGATCCCCAGCTGGCCAGGGAGAAACCCACACGGTGAGGTAGACCTTTCCTGTCTCACTGGTTGCTCCTCTCGGCAGTGTGCTTCGGTCAGTCTGCCTGTTCTGTTTCCCACTCTGTCTCTGGTGGGTCCTCTCACACCCCGCATCTCTGGCCTGTACCCCATTCTTATATGCATAAATAATCTTAAAAAAAAGAAAAGAAAACCTAAATAAGGGACCAGGAAAAAGACTAATTATAATAAAGTAAAAATCAAAATCAACAAGCAATTATAAACTAGTTTTTTTTTTTTTTTTTTTTGGTGTGCACGTGTGATGTCCTTGTCTGCTTTCAGAATCAGGGTAATACTGACTTCATAAAATGTAATTGAAATTTCCCTCCCCTTTCCAATTTTATGAAAGCTTTTGAGTAAGATATGTATTCATTTTTCTTTGAACATATGGTAGAATTCACCTGTGAAGTCACTGGGTCCTGGGCTTTTGCTTCTGAAGGTGTCTTTGATGACTGTTTCAATTTCCTTACTCGTAAGGGCTGTGTTCATGTTTTCTATTTCTCCCTGCCTTAGTCCTGGAATATTCCATGTTTCTAAGAATTTATCCATTTCCTCTTAATTATCTAATTTGTTTCCATATAATTGTTCATTATATTTTCATGATTTTATGTATTTTATAGTACAACTTTTCTTCTTTTCTTTCTGATTTTATTTTATGTTTTATCCTCTCCTTCTTAGAGAGTCTGGTTAAAAGTTTGTCTATTTTATCAGTCTTTTCAGAGAAGCAGCTCTTGGGTTCATTGATCTTTTTGAGGGGGGAGGGCACTGTTTTTCACCTCTTATTAATTTCTGATCTACTTTTCATTGTTTCCTTCCATTTGATGACTTCTAGCTTTGTTTTTTCTTCTTTTGTTAGTTCCTGTAGGTACAAGCTTAGATTTCTTTTTTTTTTAATTTAAATTTTATTTTTATATTCCCCATACAATTACAATCTCCTTATTTTTACCCCAAGCCCTCCTTTCCTCGCCCCCACCCCCCATAGAGTGTCTCTTGTTCATAGTTATTTGTTGATTTTGATATTTTCTTTCTTATAGTTATTCTTTTTCCTGGTCCCTTATTTAAGTTTTCTAGATTCCAGCTATGAGTGAGACCATCCGGTATTTTTCTTTTTCTTTCTAGCTTATTTCGCTGAGCATGATCCCTTCCAGTGCCATCCATGTTGCTGCAAATTGCATGTGTTTATCTTTTTTGAATGCTGAGTAATATTCCATGGTGTATATGTACCACATCTTCTTGATCCAGTCATCTATTTTTGGGCATTTGGGTTGTTTCCAAAGCTTAGCTATTGTAAATAGTGCTGCTATAAACATAGGCGTGCAGGTGCTCTTTGGAATTGATGTTTCTGTGTCCTTTGGGTAAATACCTAGGAGTGGAATTGCTGGATCATATGGACAAGCTTAGATTTCTTATCTGTGACTTTTCTTGTTTCCTGAGCTAGACCTGTGTTGCAGTAAATTTCCAGCTTAGTGCTGCATTGGCAGCATCCATCAGTTTTGATATGTCTTGATAGCATTTTCATTCATTCAAGATACTTTGTTATAAACTTCACTTTTATTTTTCTCATTGATCAGTAGCTATTCAGTAGCATTTTGTACATTAGCCACAATTTTCTGGTCCACCCCATTTCTTCTTTTGTTTGGTTTTAATATCATGCCACTGTGATTGAAAAACATGCTTGATATTATATCAATCTTAATAAATTTATTAATTTGCTTTGTGTCCTCAAATACTGTCTACCCTCAAGTATTCTCCATGAACACTAAAAAAAGAATATAGTCTTGTGTTTTGAGGTGGACTGTTCTAAAGATGTCTAAGTCTATCTTGTCTAATTTGTCATTTAAGATCGTTGTTTCTTTGGTGATTTTCTGTCTGGCAACCTGTCCATTGCTGTAAGTGGGGTGTTGACGTCCCCTATCATTATTGTGTTGCTTACCTCCATAGGACTTATGAAAGGCAGTTACAAAACTTATGTTAATTTTCCACACTTATATTAATTAAATGTTTGTTCTCAAGGAGATTTTTAAAGTGCACCTACTCCAGCATCCTTATTTTATAGATGAGGATGCCCACATGATTCAGGGTATCTTCAAGTACTGAGTTAATGTCAGGCATGCTTGATTAAAATCATCACATTTAATCATATAGAAATGATGGGTTTTACTAATTTGATCTATTTCCAAGTCACATATATTTGTAAAATCTGGAAAGGGAAAACATGAAGCCAACCATTTTGTGCGATAACATACTAGTGCTGTCCATTTAATGCCTTTGTATTCAAAAGAAAATGATAATATTTATCCCAAAGAATTTTTCCATTAATGTTGGTGAATATACTTAGAAGGTGCAGCTTAGCTCATAATTGATGATTCAAGGTATATTTAGTTCACTGTATGACTAGAAAATAATGAACAGTATTTTTTTAATGAAGCCATTTTCTTCTCTCACTTTTTCATCAACAGATGGCACAAAGCATTTCTATGGAAGGGGAGAGAAACTTCACCTCTGTGACAATGTTTGTTCTTCTGGGACTCACAGATGAAAAAGAGATGCAGTTTATTCTTTTTCCAGTCTTCCTAGTGATCTACCTTGTGACTTTAATCTGGAACCTGGGTCTCATCACCCTAATCAGGATGGACTCCCACCTGCACACACCAATGTACTTTTTTCTCAGTTTCCTCTCATTAATAGACATCTGCTACACTTCTTCCATCAGCCCAAGGATGCTTGCAGACTTCTTCAAAGATGAAAAATCAATTCCTTTTGTTTCCTGTGCTGCACAGTTTTTTGTTGTCTGCTGGATGGGTCTTTCTGAGTGCTGCCTCTTGGCTGCCATGGCCTACGACAGATACGTGGCCATTGGCAAACCTCTGCAGTACTCGGCCATCATGGCCCCTGGGCTGTGTCAGAAGATGGTTGCTGGGGCCCTTGGGAGTGGTTTTCTTAGTAGCTTTGTTCAAACAGTGCCTTCCTTTAACCTCTACTACTGTGGGCCGAATGTCATTCAACATTTTTTTTGTGACATAGCTCAGATTATTACCTTGTCTTGTTCTAATCCCTTCATCACCCAAATGATTATCTTTCTGGTAGCTACTTTTGTTGGGTTTGGGTCTTTGCTTCTTACTCTGTTATCCTATGGTTTCATTGCAGCTTCCACCCTGAAAATATCTTCCATCAAAGGTAGCATCAAGGCCTTCAACACTTGTGCCTCCCACCTGGCAGTTGTGACTCTCTTCTATGGCACATCCCTCTCTGTGTACATGCGTCCTAGTTCTGGTCACTCCAAGAAGCAGGACAAGGTTCTGTCCGTGTTCTATATTATTGTCATCCCTTTGCTGAACCCTCTTATCTATAGTCTTAGGAACAAGGAGATCAAAGAGGCGCTAAAGAGAGTGATGAAGAGGGTAACACATTTACCTCATTAAGAATAATATTGGGGGGCCTCCCTGGTGGTGCAAGGGGTAAAGACATAGCACTATGAAGCTATCCACAGCCACTGCAGTATGAGTTCGGTCCCTAGCTAGGGAGGTGACCTACATGGCGCAGCCAACCTCTCTTGTTTGACCCGCTGCTCCCCTCAGCAGTATATTTCAGTAGATCTGTCTGTTCTGCTCCCCACTCTGTCTGTGGTGAATCCTCTCACCCCTGCATCTCTGGCCTGCACCCCAGCTCTTATATTAATAAGTAAATAAATCTTTTTCAAAAAGAATAATATCGGGGTAGATATTACTACGCCTATGGAAAAAGGGTTATGGATGTCCAAGTGGCTTTTGTCAGTCACAGCATATCTAGTTAGAGATAAATAATGAAAGCTTGGCTTCCTTGATTTCTGGTGACTTTATGTTAGCTCTGACCACCCACTGATTTGTCTGTGGAAGTGTCCTGACCCTTGGTTTCGGTTACAAACCTGTTTCCATAGTTAGTCTCAGATAAATAAGCCTAAAGCTTTGACAAAAAAGTTCTTATATTTATTGTATAGGAAGAAATGGCAAGAATCTAGGAATCCACAACAATTTTTATTTCCTCACTTGCATTCTTTATTTCTGTTTATAGCTAATTGTCAAACATTTATTTATACTTCATAAGTAAAATATATTAATAAATAAAATTATATCTGTAAAAATTCAAAATAATTTCATAAAGGTCACTCCAAGACAATTTCAATTGTAATTGAAATTGTAATTTCAATTTCAATTGAATATTGAAATTTTACAATTTCAATCTGGAACACAGAAAAAGTAAATGTGAGAGAAAGACAGAGACAAAAAGTAAAAGAATGATAGAGAGAGAGAAGAGAAAGAAAAGAAGTGGACATCAGACAAAGGAGAGGAGATGAGGTGGATTGAGATTTTTCTGAGTTTACTCCCAATAACCCCATTCTTTCCATCTTGTTTTTTGAGCATGCTTATGAGATGACTTGTAAAAAAGAGTTGGAAGAAAGCAATGAAATCATGAAAAGGTAATTTCAAAGTGAAGTGTGGGTACATTCTCAGAGGCTAGAAAGAAATCAAAGCTGTGAGGGTCTGGGTGTGGCTGGGGTTTGCATCCCAGAGACTGTGCAAAACCTCAAAACAATGACAGTCACTGTGTGGTTGGGGAGGAGCACAGAAGTCCCTGAGATGTGAATATTCCAGGTTTCCATGTGAAAAGTGGATTTCTCAATATAATAATGTCTCCAAAGATTAAAATTGTTAAGGGAGATCTTGGAACCTTAACAAGGGACCAGTTAGCAGAGTTGATCTCCCTCTATACCCAGGAGGAAGGTGATTTGGAGCTTATACATTTTAATTGCTCCTTTGTTGTGGTTTGTGCTCCCAAGACCTATATTAGAGGTGATGGAGCAGACTCAAAGCCATTCAAGAACCTCTCCTTTGACAACTGGATCATTTTGGCAGGAGGCTGGCTGATAAAAATTTTCTAAGGAAAGTCTTTGTACTCGTCTCAGAGTACTGATGGAGTGGGATACTCCCAGAAGCCAGACATTTTGGCCATTTCTGAATATCTGGGTACACCCAAAAGTAAAAGGAAAAAAACCTCAAGAGAGTAAATCTTTACAGAACTCTTAGGTGAGTAAGGATTCTGCTCCAGGGAATGTCAAGTGCCTAGAATTAGAAAGATAAACTATTTCCAAACAATTCTGTATCTTTTCCTTTGAAATCTAAGCTTTATAAGAGATCCTCTCCTATGGCAGTTCATTTATATTTTTATTTCTTCCAATTTATGTTTATGGAGGTACAATAAGATTGTGTCTTTGTATCTGCTTTGGGGGTTAGAGGTTCAGACCTCTATGAATATGTGTTTTCATACCTTGCCTGACACCAGTGCTCCCACAATTCTCCATCATGTACTGTTGGGTCCCTTACTTCCCCAGCTTCCATCCCACTACACACCCACTCTGGTTGCCTCAGATCTGCAGTCAGAATGTACAAGTTTGCTATGGTTTGGGTTTGACCAACCCTTTGCTGTGTTTCTCTACATTCCACATTTAAGTGAGACTATCTGGTCTTTGTCTTTCTCCTTTTGACTTATTGGCTTAGTATTAACCTCTCCAGTCCATCCATATTGACACCCCTTTTTTATAGCTGGGTAGTATTTCACTATATATATATATATATATATATATATATATATCTTCATTATATGTGTCTGTGTGTGTACATATATATTTTTTTTTCAATCACATTTTTCTGATACACCCCCTGTACTTGGGCACTTAGGAAGTTTCCATAAAGTAGCTGTTGTAAATAGGGCTGCAATGAACATAAGAAAACATGAATCCCTTTGAATTAGTGTTTTTGTGTTCTTTGGATAGAGAATTAGGAATGGAATTCTGGGTCATGTGGCAGATCAATTTTTAATCTTTTGGGAACCCTCCATACTGTTTCCCTGGGGCCTGCACTTGTCTACATTCCCAGCAAAGTGTGTGAGGCTCCTTCTCCTCCACACTCTCACCAGAACTTGTTTCTGGGCTTTTTGACACAGGCCATTCTCACAGGGGTGAGGTGGTGTCTCGTTGTGGGTTTGATGTGCATTTCCCTGATGGTAAGTGATGACGGGCATTTTCTCATGGATCTATTGGTCATCTGTGTGTCTCCTTGGAGAAGTCAGGCCTGGGGTTCTGATATCCCTTGGAAGATGGAAACATCATCGCCATTTCACAGGCCAGGGGGTGGAGTTTTTCTCATTTATGGTGGTGCCTGACACAGCCTTCTTCACTCTTTGGACAGTCCTGACCCCTCCCCAACTCCAGTACCTATCACTGTACACAAGAATCAGTGGCCAGGATCACCTTCTAGAATGAACCCTCAAAGTCTGCATTTGCTGAGTTTAGTCCACATATGACTCAGCTGTCGAAAAGTCTTTGGCAGATTCTAGAGGAAGTGAGAAGTGAGAGACCACCCTTCAAGAGAAAGTGGTATTCTGAGAGTAACTAGGTGTTCTAGAGTTGTGCATATTGTTCTGGACAAACAAAGCTCTCCAGGGTATGATTTTTGGTCTACAAATAAACTTTCAGTTGTCAATTAAGCAAATATTTGGAAAGGGTATAGATAAGTTACATTAAAGAAAAAGGTCACTTCAAGGGGGTTCTGCTTCATGTTCTTTCTCTATCTCTCCTTCCCCACCCCCTCTCTTTCTGTCTTTCATTTGCTAAGCAGTGTCAAGTAGAGGTAAGTATGGGGATGGAGAACAATTATTCCAAGAATGATGTGACAAAAAAAGAATTGAAGGAAGTGAGGGTCTCCCTGGTGACGCAAGGGGTTAAGCACTGCACTCTGAAGCAATCCGCAGCCTCTGCAGCACGAGTTCGATCTCTGGCCGGCCAGGGAGAAAGCCACATGGTGAGGAAGATCTCTCCTGCCTTGCCCACTGCTCCCCTTAACAGTGTATTTGAGTCAGTCCACCTGTTCTGTTCCCCACTTTGTCTCTTATGGATCCTCTCACCCCCCGCTGGCCTGTACCCCAGCTCTTGTATGCATAAATAAATAAATCTTTAAAAAATTGAAAGAAGTGATACAAGATAACTTTTATCCAAAATAAAAAAGAAAATATAGGAGTCTTTGATAAATAAAAGGCAACCAAAAATAAGGCTAAATAAAAATGATAGAGTCTGGGACAGTTGAGCAAATGATGTGGCAATTCAAAGGTGCTCTGAGATCGATGACTGCATCTCTGATTTGACATGGTTTTCAGTGTAGAGAAGGTTTTGCCATGGTAATTTCATCTCTTAGGCATCTTGGACACAAGCTTTGCAGTGGTTACCATCTAAAAGCTGAGACTTCCCTTTTCCTCAGTAACACCTGCCCATTGCAGAACATTTGAATACCGCCATCTTGCGTCCTACTGAGAGAACTTAAATTCTCTTCCACTTTGTCTCACTCACTTGCAAACACCAGCATTGCAGCTTCTCTGCTCATTTTCTGAAAGTGTATCTTTTTCTCTGCAGATGGCATCAGGAAGACCCATGGAAGGTGATACAAATCACACTTCTGTTTTCATGTTTGTTCTCCTGGGATTCACAGAAGACAAAGAGCTGCACTTTATTCTTTTTCCAATCTTCTTGGGGATTTACCTTGTGACTTTAATCTGGAACCTTAGTCTCATCATCCTAATCAGGATGGACTCCCATCTGCACACACCAATGTACTTTTTCCTCAGTGTCCTGTCATTTATAGACATCTGCTACACTACTTCCATCAGCCCAAGGATGCTTGCAGACTTCTTCAAGAATGAAAGAACTATTTCTATCATTGCCTGTATCACGCAGTATTTTTTTGGGTGCTGGATGGGTCTTTCTGAGTGCTCCCTCTTGGCCGCCATGGCCTATGACAGATATGTGGCCATTGGCAACCCTCTACAGTACTCGGCCATCATGGCCCCTGGGCTCTGTCAAAAGATGGTTGCAGGGGCCCTTGGGTGTGGTTTCCTCAGTAGCTTAGTTCAAGTAGTCCCTTGCTTTAATCTCTATTTCTGTGGGCCAAATATCATTCAACATTTCTTTTGTGACATGCCACATATCATATCCTTGTCTTGTTCAAACCCCTTCATCATCCAAATAATTATTTTTCTGGTAGCTACTTGTGTTGGGTTTGGGTCTTTACTTCTTATCCTCTTATCTTATGGTTTCATTGCAGCTTCCATCCTGAAATTATCATCCATCGAAGGTAGTGCCAAGGCCTTCAACACCTGTGCCTCCCACCTGGCAGTTGTGACCCTCTTCTATGGCACAGGCCTCGCTGTGTACTTGCATCCTAGTTCCAGCCACTCCACGAGACAGAACAAGTCTCTGTCTGTGTTCTATGTTATCGTTATCCCCATGCTGAACCCTTTTATTTATAGTCTAAGGAACAAGGAGATCAAAGAGGCCCTCAAGAGAGTGATAAAGAGGACAACACATTTGTCTCATTAAAAACAATATTTTTGCAGGATTATCTCCATTAAGTGAAGGCAGGGGTAAGACAAGACCCACTAGGTTTCCTCGATTCCTGTTGCCATTCTGTTTAGCTGCCAAGATGACGTGATTTGCCTGAGTCACTAGCACCAACATGTAATTCAGTTTAAAATCCTGATTCCATGAGTACACTCAGGTTGACAAAACTCTGTATTTTGAGTAGAGTTACCTTATATACAGAGGAATGACAGAAACCTAGGAAGATACACATACTGTTCTTCATTGACTTTCCTTCCTTCCTTTCTTCTGTTGTTTTCTTTTTCTTAATTGAAGGAACATTGGTTTACATCATTATTTGTGTTTTAGAGGTAAAAGATCTCCTTCAAGTGTTGTTACTAGGCCACACCTACCACCAAATCACACACAGGCCATCTGTTGTGCTTCCCACAGCCCTGATAGTCTCATTTTTTTTAAACTTAGTTTTCGTTTAAGCTTTTCTTTATACTTCAATAAAAATAAAGGACTACTCTAAAACTTTAGTCCCAAACAGAAACAAAGAGCGTGAGAGACAGTGAAAATGCATGTGTGTGTCTTTGTGATGAGGAGAGATGACAAGAGAGAGGAGGGAAGAAGAAGGGTGGGGAGTAGAAGAGAAAGAAATTCTTCTGTGTTTACTGCCAAATAACCATTTTCTGTCTCTTACTCCTGGGACTTCCTTCTAAAGAGAATTGTGGGGCGGGTTGGGGTTGGGGGTGAGGAATGGAATTAAGAAGTGGCAACTTAAAAGCTAAATTTGGGTCTATTGGGCCTCCCCAGGTGGCACAGGCAGTTGAGCACCATGCTGTGAAGCTGTCCACAGCCTCTGCAGCGCAGGTTTGATCCTGGCCAGCAGGCGAGGGTCCCACATGGCATGGCAGACCTCTCCTGTCTCGCCCACTGCTCCTCTCAGCAGTGAATTTCGTTAGTCTGCCTGTTCTGTTCCCCATTCTCTCTCTGGTGAATCCTCTCACACTCCCACGAATCTGGCCTGTACCCCAGTTCTTGTATAAATAAATCAATCAATCTTTAAAAATATAATAAATAAATAAACAAAACTAAATTTGGACCTATTTTTAGAGACTACAGAGAACTCAAAATTATCAATTTCTAGGCACAGGTGGCCTTGGATCCTGCTCCAGGAACCTCCCAGAGGAGTCGAAGACCTCGTACACGCTGGCTGCTGCTCTGTGCCCAGGACGATGGGGTCTGAGTTCTGGGATGTGGCTTCCTAAGGATCACAAAGTCTTCATATGATCAGAAGGGTCATCAGATGTGGAGTATTCGTTCCATTGAGAGTCCAACCTAGAGAATTTACAGAAAAGTTTTGAGTCATTTTTCAGACAAGAGTTTCTAGATTACATGTCATGCATGTTACATTGAATTTTAATGAGAGTTTACACTTTACATAGTCACATTGTGTAATTTGAATTTTTTAATCTATTACCATGTGAAGATGGTGGGTGAGAAATGATCCCCCATGACAGACAGAATCCTTGGGCATATTGAGTTCTACCATGTGCTTCCCAGTGTAGCAGAAACCATCTTGGATCTCACAGGTGTGATTTGTATAACAGACAAGAGCCATGGCCTCCATTCTACTTGACCATGATACCCAAATTCTATATTCTTCATGGAAGTCTTTAAAATTCTCTTAAAATCTGTTGATTATTATAGTTATTATGGGGGATATACTTCTACTAAATTGTTAACAAGAATTAAATTAATAAAATTAAATAATTAACTCATTGTTCCTTCCTACCCCTCTTCCTTAGAAATAATATTTGCTAAAGTATATAACCAAGAACATGACCTTGTTTAAGACAGGATTTGTCTGTATCCCTAATATTGACTATGTACATAAGCTCCATTTTTTGAAAAAGTCTGGAGAATGATACTAAGTGGATATTTTTAATGAAAGATTAGTAATACAACATAATGTATTAGAAAGAATTCCAAAGGACACCTACTATTAATAGAAGATATAATGAACAATACACTCCGATAGGCATTTTATAGGCATCATCTATTTTGATCCTATAAAGAATCATTTTACAATGTACTTATTAACATCATCCCTGTTTTATAGGTGATAATAATGAAACTTGGAGAAGTTAATCTTCTCGAGATCACACAATAGCAAGTGGAAGAGACAGAATCCAACCCAGATTTGGCCATACCATCAGCCATGATTGTCATCATAAGTTGTGACCCTTTTCATGAATTAGTTTTTGTGTATTCCTGATTGCTTCAACTTCCTCGCTCAACACAAAAAATAATGCCACTGCCCAGGGCAACTATGATGCTTTTACAGGTCAGGGGGTTAAGGAAACATATAAGGTAGATATCTAAAATGATGTTTTTAGTTATCTGTTTTATAAACAGGGAAGTGTGCACCATGTAATTCATTATCCTTTATTTTACCAGCTAGCTATGTCATTTTGGGCAAATGTCTCAGCTACACTCACCTCATACTAGCTTGGATATTGAGGGTATTGAATTGGGTTATTGGTAGGTCTTTTTCAGCTCTAATGGCTCAAAATTTGTTCAAAGGAAAACTATGATCATGAATTCCTAATAAGAGCATAGGGAAGTAGGGAAATGAATCAGAAGGGACATGGCTAAATGGGGCATGGCATTAGCTGGAGCAAATGCAACCATGACTACAGAGAGCAAATACCTGGAGAATTTTCTGCCTCTAGTTGCCATTTCTATTTTTACCTCCATCTTTAATAATACATTTAAGACTATTCTCCACTTGTGGGATTATATCTTGTGTGAAGAACAGCAAATTTCATGGCCAAGTGCACCCACCTTGGGTTGCAATTGTATCAACCTAGAAAATATCTTTGGAAAAGACAGACACGATCCAACCTTTTCCAAGAACTCTGTCACCTGGGAATCCTGGTCAAGGCTAGAAGTCAAGATTTAGAGAGAAATGTGGGTTCTGTTATCTCTCTGTGTGATTCTTCCTTTAGGACCTGTGTGGAGCAAGGTCTGTGATACTCAGTCCCTTGTATTCTTGAACTCTTCTCTCCCTCACTTCTACACCCTCTACTTAGAACTCTCCCATGGCTCTCTTTGTCCTTAGGTAGATTCTCTGACATTCAGTGAAAAAAATAATCTTTAACCTCAGGTCAATTATTACCTGGGGTAAGGATTGATGCTATTTTCTAGTTCTACTATTTCTTAAGGATATGACCTTGAACTTTCTTAACTTCTGGGAAGATAATCTAGAATCTAATGAGACAATGTCTATAAAGTCTAACACATTACAGAAGTTAATAGTTATGTACTGAATCATCAAAAATAACATGTTGTGAATTTCAGAGGAATTAACTAAGATCAAAATGTACTTGTCTATGTTTCCCAACTTTATCTAACCCAAGGATCCTTTTCATTTAACTCAGTCTTTTGAATATTCTGTGTTTAGGTAGTAGTAATAAATTTTATCTCCTTTAATGTATAACAGTGATTCTAATGCTTGAGTAGCAAAAGACATACTGGTCACTACGTAATGATATATCAAAGTGCTCATGTGCAATTCTGTTGACCTTTGGCCATACTTCACGTCATTCTCCATTGTCATCTTTGGACATCCTGGGGGTCTGAGGATACTAGTGTGGATGATACAGATGTCAGAGATACCCTACTCTGCACAAAGGTGACATAACATTTTAAAATGTTTAACTTTATCTGTCTCTTTAAACTTTGCACACTGTCTGGGGATATAGAAAATACATGGAAAACTTAAAGAGAGCAAGTATATTTGTATTTTTCCTTTTCTTCTAGCTTACTGAATTTTAATGGTGTAATTTTTTAGGATAAATTTTATCATCAGTAAAACAATACACAGCACCTCTTTGTTTCCCTGCACATGATGGGTTACATATTCTATAGGAGTTATGGCTGCCTACATTACCAGAATGTAATAAGAAAGTGAAGACATGTAATAGAACTGATTGAGCAAAGCCTGATTTATTTTCACTAAATTAATCAATTGTGTTGGTATTTTCTAGGATGTTGTAGATGAGACTTTATATGTTCAAAAAACTTTATCAAATCTAATTCATCTTGGATAACATAGCTGACAAATTATATTGGCAACACTTGAAGAGTAACCAGAAAGGTTTCAAGTTTTTATAATGATATTAGAAATGAAACAAAATTTAGATATTTTTCATTTTCTATCTGAAACTAGGTGAAAGAACCATTAACTAATGCATTCAACATATATTTATTGGACTATATAAACATTAGCATGGAAGATGCTTATCGTGAAGAAGTAAAACTTCTGTAATCCATAATTGGTGGTAGGGAATGTAAAATGTGGCATCAGCAGTGGGAAATAACAGAATAATACAAGATATAAATAAACACAATCATTTATAAACACTATTCAATTTTAATTTTATTCATGTTTTAATTGCGGTAATATTGGGATACCCTCATCAGCTTTTACCACCATAGTTCACCAACCATGAACTCACCCATATTCCCCCACCACAGTCCATTGTGCTTCCTTCTCTCTTTGTTCTTACCCCCTTGCAGCTTTACTAAATTTGTTGATTAGATCTAACAGTATTTGGTGGAGTCTTTAGGATTTTTTATATGTAAGATTATGTCATCTACAAATAGAGCACGTTCAGTTCTTTCTTTCCAATTCTATGTCCTTTTCCTCCTTGTCTTGACTGCCCCAAAGACTTTTAGTACTATATTGAACAAGAATGGTGAGAGTGGTCACTTTTGTTTTGTCACATCTTAAGGGAAAAGCTTTCAACCACTCACCATTGAGTATGAGTTAGTAGGGCTTGTCATCCATGGCCTTTATTATGTTAAGTTCCTTTTATACTTAATTTGTTGAGTTTTTGTCATGAATGGATGTTGAATTTTGTCAAGTGCTTTTTGTGCAGCTATGGAAAAGATTATATAATTTTTATAGTTATATCTTATATTTCATTCTATTAATGTGATTGGTCACA